ATTAAACAAAAAATAAATTACTTTGTTATTATACCTAAATTAAATTATAATAAATAATTGAATTAATGAAGTTACAAAAAAAAAAAAAAAAACTATTAAATAGTTAATTTAATACTAATATCGATTTTTAAATTTTTTTATGCTATCTTCAAATTTATATTTCATTCAAAAAAAACATTATCGTTTTCTCAAAACCACATAAAATCATATTACATCAATATAGACAAATAATAAAAATTAAACATTAAAATAAAGATTTATCTCGTTGTATTGAGCGAGTACCCTTCTACTAGTAGTAGTAATAATAATAATAATAATAATAGTTTTCTTAAATGAAAGAGAAGTATTATTAAAATACAAATAAAAAACAATTAAAATATAAATGAAATTAGATGATGATATAATTATTGATTTATCTATACTTTATTATAAAACATTTGATAAAAACTCTTAAAAATCATTTTTTATGCACGAAATACTGTTTATTGATGCATATTACTTAAAATTTAAGATTTACAAGTAAATTGTCCATAAATACAACTTATTAAAGCTCTATATTTGAATATGTGTAACTAACTGCAGATAAACATAATCGAATATTGGATAAACATCTCATTTTAAATATAAAAAATATAAAATATAATTAGGATAGTCGTTGAGTTCTAACAAAATACTTAGTTATTATTTTTATAAAAAATTATATTATTAAATCTAAATTAAATTATTTCGTTATTAAACCTAAATTAAATTATAATAAAAAAAATTGAATCAAGAAAATTACACAAAAAATAAGAACTTTAAAAAAAGTTAATTTGCTACTGATATCAATATATATTTTTTTCAAAATTTTATGATATTTTTAAATTTATATCGACATATCTCGATGCATTGTCCGAGTAATTTTAACTATGGATAATAGATGAGAGAAGTGTATATATTTTTCGGTGGTTAAATTAAAAATGAAGAAAAGTTTGTTGTTATTTTTGCAATCAAGCCGTTAACCAATGATACGATGATATCGACTCTTTAGGTTATAAATGATGACTTTCAATCCTACCCCCTTTGACTGACTACAAACATCTTCCGGATTTCGTAGCGGAATTTGCAATCTTTAGCTACTTCACAACCTAATTTCTTCACATTCAACCCAAACTGTTGACACAGATTCTTTGATGCCAAGTCCTAAATCGTCTTTTTTGGTCTATGATCAGAACACATAAGTTATCATCCATCACTCGTCGTTCTCAATCTAACCCATTGCGAAAATTATCCATTTTGAGGTGAAGAACAAGTTTAATTCCTACATTTTGTTGATTTAAGCTGATTATGTGTATAGTCGGTTAATTGATTCTTTGTTTTGTGTGTGGATGGATTCCAATTGAAGGGAGAAGAGCTCGAAGAAGGATTCGCGAACAATGGCACCTCCAATTCTATCTTTGGCCTTACCATCAGAAACGGGTCGGGTTCTCAGTATTCAGTCTCATACTGTTCAGGTTAGCTTTAACTTTTGGTTCCCTTCTCCATCATCTGATAATAAATTTGTTTGACTTATTGGAAATTGTGGATGGATTACTTACCACCAATGTCTGGATGATCCTTTGAATGTTTATAATTCTAATCTTTCCTAGACTACCATAATTGCTCAGGAACCATGACGTGATCATCATTAACTGCACTAATTTTTGTTAAAATAAACTCATCTAAATGGATTAAAATCGCCCCCTCAAGCTCTTTCCCTTAAAAGAGAACTGAATAACAACACACACTTTTTTTGGTGAAGCATTCTCATCCTTCGGTTCTCAATCATCTTTGATCATACACTTCCATACATTTTTTAGTACTTGTGATAAAAGTAAATGCATCATCTGTGTCAAATCCTAAGATATAGCTAAAGCAAATTGATTTGAATGTAAGTTATAATTTACAATACTGGAGAAATCACAAAAAACAAAAGGAATGTACAGAAGGCTCCTTGTACTAGAGGAAATACTAACAACTAACAATACAAGTACTTCTCTAGTTTATTTGAATAGGACAAACTGTACATTTGCTATATCTCAAGAAGCATTGAAAAATTAGTTACAGCAAGGGAGTATCATAATAAGTTTATTTCCCCTGAAAGCTGAAATGATATAATACAAAGCAGTAAGGTCCCATCATTGTGGTTCCCAATTTGGACAAACAATGTCATCGATTTTCTCACTTATTTTTTTGTTTTCTCTTTCATAATAGGGTTATGTTGGCAATAAGTCAGCCGTCTTTCCACTCCAACTTCTGGGGTACGATGTCGATCCGATTATGTCGGTACAATTTTCAAACCATACAGGTAAGCTGCTTCTGTTTACTTCATAAAAGACTGTAGGTCTGATAAACAGTGTCATCTTTGTCAATTTCAGTTTGTCCATGTTTTAGCAGTTTTAGGATTTTGCAGGATACCCAACTTTCAAGGGGCAAGTTCTGAATGGAAAACAACTTTGGGAGTTGATAGAAGGCCTAGAAGCCAATAATTTATTATACTACACACATCTATTGACAGGTAGTTTTGAAGTCATGGTTCAGTTTTCTGTCTTCCTAAAATAAAAATCAATATGTCAACAGGGTAACTTTGAAAAATTTCAGTTGGATGGTTTTGGGTGAATCACATCCTTTGTTTTGATGCCTTTGCAGGTTACATTGGTTCAGTTTCTTTTCTGAACACCGTATTAGAAGTAGTCAGTAAGCTTCGGTCCATCAATCCTACACTTACATATGGTGAGTGAATCAACTGATATGGCAAAAATCATTGATAAACAATTTTAGTAAGTTACAAATGTCAGTTTTTTCGGATTCTTTGATTTACTGTTTTCCTCCATAAAACAAGATTCCCTATTAAGAGTACTTAACTTATTATGAATGTGTGAGTCATGTACATTCAACCAGATAATCACCATTAAGCCTTGAAAACTTTGCTTACAGTCACCATTAACCCTGGCAAACCGAGTTTTTCAAGGTTGATGTCTAACAGCCACACTTTGCCTGGAAACTCACCTTTCCATGAACTTCAAGAGATATCTGGTGTGTGCTTTAAACTGAAATCTAGAACTTGCCAGTTGACATTGCAAGTATGTTGCTACTGTGATCTACGATTTCCAGAAGTAACCATCAACTTTGATTGATTTGCAGAATTCTAAAGATCGGTTTTGATTCTTCCCTCATCAATATCTGCAACTACTATTTTTATGTAATATATTATCAACACTGATATGTGTATGCCTTCATTATGCACCTAAATCATGTTGCAAAACCTCATAGTCAATATCATGAATTTTTTTGATATGAAGATTGATTCCTCTTGCAAAATAGATTCTCCTCTTTTTTTTCTGAATGCAATCTTTTGTTATGATGTGAGCAGTGATTTTATACTGGCTGGGCTACCAAAAGTTCCAGTCTTTCTAAATAGATTTACTGATTAAGTTCGTAGGCATGCTTGAGGAGTTTCAATTCAAGGCACACACCTTTAAGGAGTAAATGGTTTTTTTTCCTGGGCCCAAATTACACCTGTTTTGCCTCTAAATGTTCCTTAAGCACACCTTTGGTACTCTAGCATGTTTATTTGGCTTTTTTCACATGCCTGCTACTTTTGTACATTGTTTTTTAAATGTGTTTCAGGGTCTTGGACTTGGTCAATATCATTTTTAGAATCCATGGATAGACACGTGAAGGATATGTTTTATTTCTGAGCTCTAGTTTTAAATTCTCTTTTATGGTGGAAGTTGTGCAGCGACTGGTTAAGACAAGCAAGGTTTGTATATAATGTCTGTTCTTTCTGTTTCCATTGTCTGTCTTGTCAGTTTGTGATCCAGTGATGGGTGATGAAGGAAAGCTGTATGTTCCTCCAGAGTTGGTGTCGGTGTACCGTGAGAAGGTAACCTCTTGATACCCACTGATTTGAGCCAAAGCTTTTGGTTTTTGAACTTGACTATGAGATACAAACCAAACACACATGGTTGAATTTATCAACTAGTAATAAAGCACCATAGCATTCAAACCCCTTCATATGAAAAAGATTCAAAGCCCTTCAAAATAAAGGAAAATAAATACTCACAGCCTTCAATTTTTACCCCAAACTTCATATTGTATCAATACTACATCTCCCAACAATTAGGCAGCAATTCTAATCAATTTTCGCATGCTTAAATGACAACTAAAATTGCTAAAGGAGTTCCTACCGCATACAAACATGCTTACATGTGCCACAACAGAATGCAGAAAGATCTGAAGGTCAAGAAAGACAATAGACCACTTTCATAAACCTAACATAATACACATAGCTAAAATGCTTTGCCCTTTATCAGGGTTATATTTGGAACAAGTTTGAGGAAGTATTTAACTTGTCATATTCACTCAAATTATTCATATATATGAATGACAACTCTTGGTTTGACGTTTATGGCATTGACACGATGAGATGGGCAGAACCTCGCATATGGGTAAAGAAGTGAGTGGAAAATAGAACGCATGTATACATATAATCCTCCCTGTCAAATAAATATGGTTTTTCTGTCTTTTATTTTATTCAAATGTGTGATATCCTATTTTACAATAACTCTCATCTCTTCCTCCGTCTCCTGTGTAGGTAGTCCCTGTTGCTTCAATGTTGACTCCCAATCAGTTTGAAGCTGAACAATTGACTGGATTCAGGTACTGAAGACATCTATTTAGCTTGAAAAAGTCCAATTATACTTTTTCTGCATTCCTTTTAGTTCTGGGTAGAGCTAAACAAAGAACACTGATTTCTGATGCTTCTTTCAGTGCCTAGGGGATTAATCTTTTTTCAGCATCTAGGGAGTAAATCAATATTCTGGCACATAGATAAGCACTCTTTTATCTTAATACATTGACAAGCCTTTTAAATAGGTGAACTCCTGACATCCTTCCATGTACTCCTATCCCAGATGAACTCCTTTAATATATCTTCTAATGAAAATCTCTTAACTACTTCCCATGGCCAACTTCTATGTCTTTTAACGACTCCCTCTTGGCATAAGTCTCATCTTCCAACTGCCATATTAAAGATTCACTGTGGAGATGATGAAACCACCTCCAATGGTGTTGCTTTAACCTCTCCTCGATCAACAGTAGTTCTAAATAACTCGTTTGGCCTCGTTATGGCGCGTTATGGCGTCAAGGCTTGGGTTCGTCACCATGTTAATCCCTCTGGCTCCACTCTAAGGCTTGGCTTCCATTGTAATGTGTTATGGCGCGTTACAACGCGTTATTTTGTAAGGTGTGGGGTTTTTTAATATATAACTTGAGGATAAATGATAATTATATATGAGATCTAAGACTTAGATAAACGTAAAAAGGAAACTTAACAACAAACAGCCTAAATAGGTAATTACTTACTCTCATTCGGTCATTCCCATACACGTAGAGTCGAACACGAATTATTTGAAAATTGAAGAAAGTAGTGAGTTGAGATTCAAGAGATTTAATCCCGATTCTACACCCTTGATATCACTTTCTATAAGCTATATATATATTTGGTACCAATTTCTTTCACTTTTAGTTATTACTTTAAATGAATTTATTATGTATATATACACACACATATACATATATATATATATATATATATATATATATATATTGCCACCATAGGGCACAGCCTTGAAAAACGTTGTGGCCTCGCCATAACTCGTAAGGCTTGAGGCTTGACCTCGCTGCCACGCTACACCTCACGTCATTTAGAACCTTCAACACCATCCCAATTCTTTGTATATCCTAGTTTCCAATTGTGTTGCCCCAACTTTCCCTCAATGCCGTCCCAACTTCTCTTATATATTCTAATTTCTAGTGTCATCACTCATTGTGTGGCCTACATCTACCTCAACATCCATATATTGTGCTATGCTTCTCTTGTGTACATGTCTTTTAGCGGCACAAAATTTATGCCCTGTACATCATAGTAGGTCTGATTGTTGTCCAATAAAACTCACCATTCAGCTTCAGTTCACACAAGACTTCCAATGCTTAGCACCATTTCATCTACTCGCTCTTACCTATGGCTAACATCTTCATCAATCTCTCTATCCCTCTGTAAAATTGATCCCTAACAAGATATATCATTGCTAGTTGCTTCCTGTCCAAATATGTTTACCGCATCTTTATTGTCATCATCAATACCACTAAAGTTGCACTTGATATTCTCCGTTTAATTCCGACTTAGCCCTAAACCTTCACAAAGTGTTTATCCAAACCTCCCACTTTGCATTAACACCTTGCATAGTCCGGTCAATGAAACAGTTGACACTGCATCGCTGGTGAAAATGTCTTTCGTGAGCTTATCCATGGCAAAAGCAAAAAGATAAAATGATTCAAATCTGGCTTTTGGTGCAACTGTGAAGAAATAAGGAAACCATTTGTGTTTACATCACATGCTTCTGTGCTTGTTAATACATGGGTCCTAAACATCTTTCTCACAACACATGCATGCGTAGATTTTCTCCTAATCCCTCCATGTCACTTCTCTTGGTACCTTACCATCTGCTTCATCGATACTAATAAACATCATATGCAAGATCCTTTTTGTCCCCTATATCTCTTGGAGTCTCGGTTAGTCATGTTATCAAGAAGAGATCCTTTCTTATTGATCTCCCAGGTTTCAACTCTTTACCTAGAGTGATCCTTCAATAACATGTACGGTTTTGAAGATCTTGTTTTTGGTTGATTGGGACGACAATGCTCTTTCTCCATCCACGAGACCTCCTCCTTGTATCAAGAAGGAGCCATACCATGCATACTTCTGCAAGGAATAGATTAAGCCTTAGAGCTTTTCCTGCCTTTTTCTTAGTCCTTTCTTCATCTCCAATACAGCAATTCTACTTACAATCGTTTCTATTATTTCATCAAAAGAGCATAAAGTTCCATTACATACAGACCTTCTATAAGTGCTGTCAACATTGGCCATGTATTACATAGTTTTCCCTAAGTCAGGACAAAGGAGGACGTAATACGTTGGGCCTTGCGCCATGGTGCATGTATTTAGTGATTCACATGAAAATCTGACCACTTTCTCTTTTTCCTTAATAAATGAAAATGAATTAGGAAAAATTGAGCATGATTTTCTAATATAGTCACACATTTGCTACTAGCTATTGCTTTAATAAAATCCATACCCAATATCTATGAGATGATGTTTGACATTAGCGGTTTCCTGTATATTAGCAAGCTTAAACACACACCTGCTAAATAGTATAGGCTTTCAATTGCTTGAACGTCGATGCAACTAGGTAAATTATGACTCTTCTTATTTGAAGAGGTCAAAATTTTAGTAACAGTGATTTCTGGATCAAGTAATTTGATATGTGTCTCGTCTGTTGGTAGTTAGTCTCATCAGTCTTTTAATGGAGTTCACCTTCTGCAGAATTGCGTCTGAGCAAGATGGGCGGGAAGCATGCAGGCATCTTCATGCAGCTGGCCCATCAAAGGTTCTGTCTCAAACATGTATATTTGATATTTCAGCATGACAAGTAGTTTCTCTATGTTTTTATAGCTTCCAGCACTCGAGCTTTTATAGGCTTTCCATGTTTTTCCAATACCTAGTTTCTTATGGTTGATGCTTTGTTATCTTATTATTACGATAAATTGATGATCATGAAATACAGTGTATTCCTAAACCCCAAATCAAGTGCCCATGCTGGAAATGGCACATAGCTTAAGAGATGTGTTTCCCAAATTGCCATTACCCTTTTCACTTTATATCCCAAGGTAGACCTTAAAGGTACAGTTACTTAGGGGATGTGTACAAAACGCTTTTCGGGTAAGCGCTTACTGGGTCACTTATCTTACTGAGTGAGCATGGCAAGACCGAGAATCTTACCCAGTAAGAGGCAAGGCATGGACTTACCCAGTAAGTGAGGGTGGTGACTCCTACCCAGTAAGCACTTACCGGGTGATAAATGCTTACCAACAATCCATTTTGATGGCCGGGAATGTTACCCAATAAGGTAAGAGAGGGTGGTAACTCTTGCTGGTATGCGCTTACCTGATAAGTGCTTGGTAAATGACGCCTAAAAGTGATTGCTCCTGTGTTAATCCAGATTTCAGACCATGCCTGCAACAGTATTTGGTATTCTGATTGATTCAGTAGAGATGTTTTGGCAGGTTCAAGAGGCACAGAAAACCTAGTAGTACTGTAGTATTTATAATTTTTTTTACTATTGGTTCATCTGTAGGATCTAATTTTCTTTTCTCAGGTTGTGATAACAAGCATATGCATAGATGGGAATCTTCTTCTGATTGGAAGTCATCAGAAAGAAAAGGTATGAACTTTGAGCAACTGATAATTATCGAGTTTAAATCTTTAGACGACTTGAGATCATTACTATATTTTTGTAGTGCATGCTTTCATTTTGTTTCTCATTAGGATCCATGCAGATATATCTTAATTCCTTTTTTAGATCATATTAAATGATTTTGGACTTCTAGTTACATTGCTTGAATTTCTGCCTTCAGCATATGATCAAAAGTAGTATTTTCTTACGTTGCTTTGACTTGTAAATTTGATAGGGTCAATCTCCTGTGCAATTCAAGATTGTGATCCCTAAAATACCTGCGTATTTCACGGTACGACTTTTCTTCCTAATGCTGCAATGTTTTACGGTTGATGATAGATATAATTCTCAATCATAGCAGTTGGAATTGATAAATATGTTGTCAAAGCATCAACATCCATATAGGTTCTGCATTCATTTGTTTGTAGCTGGATTAATATCATAGGTTTCTGTTTGGTTGACTAAAAAAGAAGTTGATAATTTTGATGCTGAAACTCGAACATGATATCTTACATTATATCTGTTTCTGCATCTGATTAATGATCGTTACTCATGCATTCATGACCCTCCCTTCCAATTGCATAAAATACTTTATGCTCTCAAACTTTTACTTATCAATTGAGCTTATTCAAGTCTTGATAATGATTCTAATCACCTGCATACGACATAAGCTCAATGTTGGAAGGAAACAAGGTTGCCTTGTATATGCCCAGAATTGAAACATATGTGTATCTCATCAATATTCTGTGTTTGTTTCTTCTCAATGGGATTTGTTTGTGGCTTTGAAAGCTAGTTTGTGTGATTGCAGGGGACAGGAGACTTGATGACTGCACTATTACTTGGATGGAGCAATGTAATGCATTTCTCTATATACATAGGGTCAGGTTCTGGGGAAAACCGCAAAAAAATGAAAAACTGAGGAACACCCTGATAACCGTTCATTTGGACGGTATGCACATCTGCATACAAGTAATTGATAAACAATTTGTCCGGTATGCACACGTGCATAAAAACCAAAAAGCAACTTCTATTACTTGTATGCACACATGCAGGGTATTCCTTAACTTTTCATTTTTTTAGGTTTTCCCCTAAACCCCACCCCCCCTCTCTCTATATATATGTGTGTGTGTGTGTGTGTATATATATATATATATATATATATGTTGGAGGTTCAAACCAGAACGCCTTCATTTTACGAAAACGCTCTACACCCTTATAACATATGATAATACACAGGAAGGGACCTAGTGGTGTATGGGCGATTTGGCTCGCGACCTAGGTCGCCCACGTCTTTGATTTAATATCACATGTGATTGATTATAGTAAAAAGGTGTTCTCAATTTTTCATAAAATGAAGCTCTTCTCATTTGAACCCTTCCCTATATATGTGGGAGGGTTCATGTGAGAACCCCAAATAATTTGAGAACCATGAATACACACTTATATAAATTTCATCAAAATATGTAAATTGTCAATGAGTATATTCACTTGTATTTGTATTATGTCAATGAGTATATTCAATAATGAATATATTCTAAAAAGTTAGTTCCTGGTTTTCAAAATATTTGCAGTTCTCATTTAGCCAGGATATATATATATATATATATATATATATGTAGGGTTGGGTTCACGTGAGACCAAGAGTTTTTCGTGAGACCCGTAAGACCAATTTATGTTCATTGATCAAATTTATAAACTAATGATCTAATGGTCTAAAGTTGCAAGGTGACAATTTCGTAATTAGTGAGAAGTTTCGTGGCGTTTATGAATGTTTAGATATGACGATTGTAAATCTAATCCAAGGGTTGAGAATTGGTCTTACGGGTCTCACGAAAAACCATTGGTCTCACATGATCCCAAGTCTATGTAATATATATATATATATATATATATATATATATATATATGCCAATTACCTAACCATCTCCTTTTGTCTTCCAGAAATATCCCAACAACCTTGACAAAGCAGCAGAGCTTGCTGTATCAAGCTTACAGGTATGTCATGTGCTAATTATGATTTTGTTATCAGAAACTACTTCATGAATGAATGCTAGAAACCAGATGCCCACTACAACATTTTGATTGGGTTGGTTTGGTTTGGTTACACATTGTCCAGCTCAAACTGAAGGGCAAGTCGACTTCAAATCTTTTAATTTGGTCGACCCAACCCATATACCAACCAAACTAAGGGCCGTTTACCAAACGCTTATTTGGGTAAGCACTTACCAAGTAACATTACCTCCCGGATGAATATGGTAAGGACCAAGAATCTTACCCGATAAGAGCGAGACAAGGACCAAGGGTCTTATCCGGTAAGTGAGGGCGACGGCTCTTACCACGGTAAGTGCTTACCGAGTAAATTGTTGCATACAATGTCGTTTTAGTAGACTAAAATCTTACCCGGTAAGTAATTAATAGTGTTAAATTTTACCGGTAAGCATTTACCAGATAAGTATTTGGTAATCGGCTCCTAACTCGGTAAACCTCATGGAGATGTAGAGTCTTTTGTTTCAATGAAGACAAAAAAACAAAAATTAAAAGAAATAATCAAGCAAGCTACAACCCCTGATTCATATCTTACAGCTTATTTTCATTTTATTGAGAATCGGGTGGCATAAACTTTTTACTAGTGCAAATATTATGCGTTTATGTGGTTTGGTTTATATTTATGGTGTTTATATCCATCTCTAACACAGTTACATGTTAATGAGTGTGAAATATCATGTTTGAATCTTATCGGAGATATCATTTCACCGACGGATTAGCGACAAATTTTAATTAATTATGTTTTTAATTAAATTTTATCGTTAATCCGTTAGTAATTTAATCAAATTATTTTCTATTTTTTTAATTTGAAAAATCACTAACAAAATATATTTCATTTTCGATTAAAACAAATTTCATCAATAATATTTTTTAAATGTAAGTACTTTTTTGGTATATTTGTTTCATTTTATAGATGTAAATATTTTTTTTGTTCATAAAAATGTTTAGGAACTTAATTGTTCAAAATATGAAAGTCCATTGGCTTTTTTTTCCAGACTTTTTCTATTATTTTATCATATTAGTTTTATAGACCATAAAGATGTCTCTAACATGTTTTAGAAAGTCCAAGAAGTTATTTAACAGGTTTTGGAATGTCCAATAACTTATTTGCTCCAAAAAATTGTCTAAGGACTTAATCATTCCAAACACTAAAGTCCATTGGGTTTTTTTTAGACTTTTCTCTTATATTTACGTTGTTTTCGTATGACATTTACAGGCAGTGCTGAGTCGAACGCTGAAGGATTATGAGGAGGCAGGGTATGATCCGCAGACGAGCAGCTTGGAGATTAGATTGATTCAAAGTCAGGATGATATTCGAAACCCCGAAATTGAATACACATCTCATTTATACGATTAATTCCTCCATGTACCATTAATTTCCATTTTATCACAATACAATCTACTTTTCATATACAAATTCAATAGGGGATACATTTATGTTATGAACACTGGGTTTTTTTTGTATCGAAATAGATTTTTCCTACTAAATCTCGTGCTTAATTTCGTGTCATATCGTACATCGAACATGTGCTCGTTTTCATTCGAGGCTGGATCTTGTCGTTGTCGGAGTTTCTTGAATCTGGGTCGCGTATTCTTTTGTTTTTCAGGTTTATTTAGCTTTTGGTTGTTCTGGGTCATCGTTCGCTTTTTTGTTTAGTTCTCTTACACTTTTACTTAAAAGGTTAGAGTATCTCTGACAATTATGTTATATATTTTTTACCCCAAAATGGAGTATTAAAAATCAAAATTTGTTAATAAAATTATATCTAACGCGAACAGCTATTTTATTTTAACAATTACAACATTAATTATATTATTATAATATTTTACAAATTCATCGTCCCAGTAAACTTTTAAAATAAATTATAAAAATTTATAGCATATTCACTTTCATTGGTGGAATCAATTGAAATACATTTTTCTCGATATTAAGTTTTAAAGATTTCTTTAAATTTAAATATTTATAGTTTCTCTTTCTATACCTTTTATTTTAACATACATTTTCATGTAACTGCTAAAAAAAACCTAGAAAAGATTCAAAATCCTTTCGAGCTCCTTGATGGTTGACGTGAGGAGGAAAAAAACACTCATATAATACGAAAGGATGACCTAAGTGCAACCTTGATAACGTGGCCCTTTCTGCCTTAGAGCATCTCCAATCGAACGGCAAAACCTTACTTTTGCCGTTCTTTTGGTTCCAATCACACTGCAAAAACACCAAAAAGATGGCGTTGGATGAAATCGGCCGGCAAATATGCCGGGCAAGAAGGAGACGGCAAAACCCTCAATTTGGTGGTCCCCACCAACTTTTCTAATATTTAATAATTTTTAAATAAGTTATAAATAAATAAATAATTACAAATATTAAGTTTTATGTTTTTATATTTATTATTTAAATTTATATATATATATATATATAATAAATTATTAATAACACAAATATAATACCGGATAAACGTAAACGTATTTTATTAATGGAAATTTTAAAAACTGAAATACATAAATTAAAGGGTCCAATCGTCCCCGCTAGGCATAAACTGACTAAAGCTTCCTGCTACGTTTTGAGATCCTTCGGATTGGTCTTGAGCTGCTCCAAATTGTTGATGTTGAGATACTCGATATTGAGATGCTACGAATTCTGATTCTTGTTGAGACATATGAACCTGGGGTTGCGTTCTCTCTCTCGCTATTCGAATTTTCTCTTTTTTTACGAACTCATACCACACAGGATCAGTGATAGAGGTTAGATCGATGCACATAAGTTTGTCATCCGCCAACCTTGCCTCTAATGCAAGTTTCTGCGCTTGAAGCTCATTCCTTCGTATCATAACTTCAGTGGTTTTAGCCATTTGTTTCTTCATTTTTTTACTAGCCTTAACTAAATTCTCTAGCTTATTATCAGATTGTAGCTTTGATTTTGCCTTTTTCACACCAATTGGTCTTTGAGTACCTTCTACGTCATCAATAGTCAACGACGGTAAACCGACATCTGTCCCAGACGAATCACCAGGACCGGAAGAAGGTGATTGATAAGGACTGTGTCGTTGATACTGAGTTGATGCAGTGACATTTGATAAACTCTCGGAGTCTTTCAAGATGTTCCAGACATGATCAAACTTAAAACCCTTCTTATAGGATCCATCAAGTTTTAACAGCTCTTTCGCTTCGTTCATCTATGAAAAATACACGTTATATTTAAATTAATAAAACAATGATCAAGTAAAATAAATACTTACGATATCTTGTTCAGAAGCGCCACTTGGATTCCTCATTTCAACTTGATTGATACACCCTCGCATTTTTTTGCAAGCTTTTAGAATGCAAGACATTCTCGTTTCCAATGATCTTCTTGGTCGAGGATTGGTTGCGAACGGTTCGGTTTGGTGATAAAGAGTTTCTATTCGTGACCAAAACTTATCTTTTGATTGGTTTCTACCTATTATTGGATTGGTAGCTGACTATGATTTTTGGATATGGCATGCATATTTTGGTTTACCGGGGTCCAACAATGATATTAATGTGTTGGAATCCTCCCATCTTTTTGCAAAGCTTGCAGCAAGTACTGCTCCTCCTGCTAATTATGTCATCAAAGGAAAATCATATAATATGGGCTATTATTTAGCTGATGGCATATATCCAAAATGGGCCACTCTTGTTCAATCTATTCACGATCCACGTGGCCCTAAAAAACAACATTTTGCAAAGAAACAAGAAACATGTAGAAAAGACGTAGAACATGCATTTGGCGTATTGCAATCAAGGTTTGCAATAATAGCAGGACCTGCACGGTTATGGAGGAAGGAAATTTTGCATGATATAATGACTGCGTGCATCATTATGCATAATATGATTATAGAAGATGAACGTGATATTAATGCACCAATTGAAGAACGACGTGAAGTGCAAGCCGTGGGAGTTGAGATGATGAACGATGGTGGACTTGAACAGTTTCTTGCTCGACACAAAAAGATCAAGGATAAAGATGCTCACTTTGAACTTCGTAATGCATTAATTGATCATTTGTGGGACGAGTATACTAACTCGGAGAATTAGTATTATTTATGTATTGTTTTAATTTGTGTTATTTGAACTAATGTAATATTTTTAAATATAAAATTTATTAATTACAATTTGATCGTTTTTGTTTTAACATTTCTTCATTAAATAAATTAATTACTAATTATTTATTATTATTACAAATTATAAATATTGTTATTAAAAATAGTAAATAAAATATGTTATTTTAATGTGGGGTCCACAAATTTGGTGTTTTTTTTAGAGTGTGTTTGGAGTTGAATTTTTTTTTTGGTGTTTATGGACCCACCAGATTTGGTGTTTTTGGTGTTTTTTTGGGTGTTGAGGTTGGAGTTGCCCTTAGAAATAGGTTGTTTCCTCTCATTCTCTATTTTTGATAGAATAAATTATATGAAAAAGTAACGTACTTTAATTTGATTCATATTTTAGGTAACAAATTTTTAAAACTTCAATTTTGGTATCTATGATGTAAAATTTTAAATATTAACCGGTTATCATGCTGATGTGGCGAGTGATGAGATGAAATTGGGTTGAATAGCAAATAATACTATGTTGGATACTACTTCAGCATGACAACCGGTTACTTGAATACTTAAATGTTCAAAACTTTATATCTTAGACACCAAAATAAAAATTTTAAAAATAATTTACCCAAAATATGAATCAAGTTAAAAGAACGTTGCTTTTCCATACAATTTTTTTTTTTTTTTTGATAAATACTGTCTCGAATATGGCTAAAGATATTTTTCTACTATTTCTTTTTATAAAAATGATGTTGGTTCTAAAAATAGCTATTTCTATTAAAAGACTGACGTATTCGGGAAGGTTGTAGCCAGCAGAAGAACACTCTGCACGCTGATTTCAATCAATTAGAAGCAAATTTTCAAAAACCCTCCATTGAAAATCAAAAACCCTCAAAATCACTAGGGTAATGGATGCAGATACAGCTTTAGAGTTGGTGAAGAAAGGCGCTGCTCTTCTTTTTCTCGATGTTCCTCAACACACACTTCTTGGCATCGATACTCAGGTACCCCTTTTGGAATTGCTTTATTTGTTCTTCAATTCTTTATTTATTTATTTATTTATTTTATAATTGATGTCTATTGTTCTCTGACCTGAAAAAGAAGGTTGATTCCTTTGTTGTTACAGACAGTTATGTATGTAGTTCATAATGCTAAGCTTACCACAAGGCAATCATAATTTGGGTTGTAATGATCATGGTAGGGTACGATGATTGCTTTAGTTATTTCCTAATTCTGTTTGTGATTGATGTATATGAGAAGGGAAGTTACACTGACACCTGAACCCTTTCTCACCGGAACCGAACCCTACATATATGTATATATATATATATATATATATATATATTTTTTTTTTGAGATGGAGAAGAAGGTTGGTTTGTTACAGAAAGTTAGTTTACGATCCTAAGCGCAGTTTAATCATCGAGAATTTGGATGTAATCATCATTTGATGCTGGTGATGATGTTTTATCATATAGAAATTATTGTGAATCAAATGTTGGGTGTGTGTGTGTTTTCATTTAGGAGGGAATTCTTGCATTAAATATCAGGTTTTAACCGTATGATTATAATGCAGATGTTTTCTGTGGGACCTAACTTCAAAGGTATCAAGATGATTCCTCCAGGTCCTCACATTATCTACTACAGTTCTTCAAACAGGTTAGCTAGCTTTCATGATCCAATATCACTATTTTGCTCCCTTTTTTAAGGTGGGTTTATTTATGTCATTTTGTAACATATAGTATATATATATAATTGTTCTTGAAAATACGTGTTCCCTTCTGGCAAGCTCTTATAATTTGGAGTCATTCCTCATCTTCATCATGCTTAAGTTCAACAAATTTAGTGATCTTCTGTTTTCTTTAAGAATTGATCACTTGTATTACTTCTGATTGTCAATAATAGAAGTCGTTACTTGTAATGTTGAAATATGCCATCATCGACTTCTTCTAAGTCCTTTAACAATGACCCCCCTCTCTGGGATTATATCATGCATTGTTAACTATTTTTTGTTGCTTTCTTGCAGAGGTGGCAGTGAGTTTTCACCGATGATTGGTTTCTTTATTGATTTGAACCCTTCTGAGGTTAAGATTGACTCTAATTATTTTGCTTTGAGCAAGTGTAACAACACTTGTAGTTGCAGTTGTTTTTGGTGCAAAAGCACATCCCCTTTTTCCAAGAGGAATTCCGGTTTCTTCAAAGCGAACTATTTGCTTTTCTACTTCATAACTACTGCGGACTCCTTTTTCTCTTTTTTGTAAAAAATGGTAAGCACTTTAGACATGACAAAAAATAGTAAGGATAAAAACGTGTGTGATAACTTAGTAACACCGGTCATTATAAATTTAGCCTTTGAATATTACTAGGTTAGAAATGAAGAAGTGTAGACGCATCTGTTATTTTTCGAACAAATGGGGCATACAACTTGGATAAATTTCTGTAAGCATCTCAGATACTTGAGGTAAGGTAAAGAGTGATGATCCTTCTTCATTATATAATATATATGAATAAAACTCATCATGTAAGATGTTCATATGGAATGTGGATGTATTGTTGGTATAGCAAGCAGAATGGCAAAGTATGCATATAATCTAGATGGACTCTGCTTTTGCTAAACGATTGTCTATTTGTTGTGTCATCAGTCTCATGGATGTTACAGAGAATATAGATAATAGAGATGCAAATTTTCTTGATTACATATTGTTCATTTGATGGTGGAATGTGCTGATTAGCAGTTGCTTTTAAGGAGATTTAATGAAGGCGGTATTTAATCATATCAAATGAACTCTGCCTCTCTTTTCTATATCATCTCTATGTGCTCTTCTTTCCTGCTTCCTATGTGATGTATCATGGTCATATGACAGGTAATTATCCGTAAATGGGATCAACGAGGAGAACGACTAGTCAAAGTATCAGAAGAAGAGGTATCAACCTTTTTTTGTTTCTTTGCCATTTTTTAGTGGTTGATGCCAATTTGTGTGTGCCCATCTGTAACCAAGTTAATATCAAATTTAGTAATCTTTGTTTACCACATGTTTGGCTTTAGATATTTATTGTCTGCTCTTTTGAAGGAAGAAAGATACACTCTAGCTGTACAAGGCCTGGAGTTTGACAGGTACCTTGGACCTTATACGTTAAGCCAGTTTGGAGAGTGGAAGATGTTATCAAACTACATTACAAAGAGTACCATCGAACGAATTGGTAATTATGATTACATTTCTTGGTGTATAAATTGATTCTAGTAGGTTCTGCTTCTGGGACGGCTGGCCGATGCTATTTTATTCATTTTAAAGAGTCCTTGCAAGATTCCAATTTTATAGGATTCAAATGTAAAATTCTACTTGACCTCATGTTTGTAACTGCAAATCGCTCAACTTAAGACACAGGTTCTTACAAGTTTTACGCTTGGTCACTTCTATAACATGTTCCTTGGTCAGAATTGACACTTTTCCTTTTTATGGTTTACCATCCTCTTCTATTTTCTTAGGTCATTTAGCATTTTAACATTTTCATTTGCTTTATTTAAGGAGAATTTGGATGAAATTTGTAAAATGGAGAATGTTAAGAAATAGTGTAAGGGGATGGCATGTAATGTTTGGTCCTCATGCAGAACCCATTGGAGCAGAGATCACAGTTATCCATGAACCCGACATTCTTGAAAACAGTCACAAAACTGTGATGGAGGAAGCTTTATCTGAGCAGTTAAAGAGAAGCAAGATTCTAATATCTGATGATAAGCTCGAAAAAAGAGGTTGTTACTACACGAAAATACCCCGTCTAATTAAGCAAAAGGGAATCCTCGGGCAAGAGCTTACTTTCTTGAATCTTGACAAGGTATGTGTTGCAAAAAGAATGTTACTCCCTCCGTCCAAAATAAATGCAACGATTTCCTTTCTAAGATGTCCAAAAGTAAATGCAATATTTCTCGTTTTGACCAAGTATTAATCCAAATTACCAAAGTGCCCATTTGTAATCACTAACCATTACAACTTGTTGGTAGCATTGAATTTGGGAGGACGGAATTGGATATCTGATTAATAGTAAACTACCACTTTTGTTGTCAAACATTATGTCTATTTTGGTATGGAAGGAGTATTACTAAACTTGGCAGACATAAATGACATTCTTTTCTGATACAGTAAACACACACACACACA